AATTTATTTTTTATATATTTAACTTAAACAAAACAACATTTTAAAGGTGTTTCATATAAAAAACCTCTGTTGTGATAAACAGTTGTTTTCTGATAAATTTCCAAAACAAAATCAGATAAAAACAGTTTAAAATTCTGAGTTTTGAGAAGTTTTTTCCTTTGTTAAATGCATATTTTTAAAAGATAATTAAAACTAAGTACAACATGATAACAAGGTGAAAATTTGTCTTTTTGTGCACATGGAAAAAAACAAACAAACTCACCTCATGATGTGGCAAACAGAAAGTGGGGAAGAAAAATTGTGGAATATAAATAGCAGAGGGTTATTGTGTGTGTGTATGTGTGTGTATGTGCGTGTATGTTGCAAGATTACATCATATGTAATTGTGGTTTAGGATGTCAGTAAATCTATTTAAAATGGATTTTTTTTGTTACAGTTTAAGTATAATATGTAACAAAATAATACTTTTTAGATTAGATTCATATTATCTGAATTATCATGTAAAATACAGCAGCATGATTACTTAGGTACTTTTACCATGAACGTCTACATGAATGGAATTTTTTTTCATGCTTTGTACAGTAAATATTGGATCTTTGTCAAACATTCACACATCATAATTAAAAAAAAACTCAAGTCAGCATTGCTCCATGAATGAACGTCTTGTTTTAACCTTTTGACCTCTCGACCCCAAATTTACTTCTTACTTATGATTAATTGGAATGAAAGTATCTCTAAGCTTAAGTTATGAAAAAAATGGATAATTTTTTMTTTGTCGTTTTAAAAGAACAAGATTGCAAAAACAAAAATGTTAACTTGAAAATTTTTGATGAGATCACTTTATCCCCGCCCACTTTGCATACGGTTGGCTCTTAATCAAACATACATGATCCAGTCTGAACCAAATTCTGTGTGCATCATAAGGAAGACCTGCTCAACACATTTGTGTAGTAGTTTGACAAGATCACTTTAGCCCCCCGTCCATCCGTCTGTCTGTCTGTTCACCTTATGTGAAAATTAAAATGATGAAGGTGATGATTCCAACAAAACTGCAAACAGTTGGTCACTACTGAATGGCGACGGGGGACATCAGAGATGGTTCGCATCATGTTCTATGTTGTATGTATTAATGTTTATGAATATTGCACTGTTTACCTCTAAATAATCACAAATTTAACGCTGCAGCAGCAAAGAACCGTTGAATCTGAATCAAAGAACAGACTGAAGACCTCACCCTGCTGATTCAAGAATTATTTCCCGTATTGTTTCAAAACTTAAGGTTATTTTAGGATTAAAATAAGGTTCCTGAGCACAGAAACAGGAGACAAATAAAAATAAGCAATCATTTTATCTTTTTATCGCAACAGACAGGACTGGAGAGAAAAGATTATAAGAGGAGAGAGTACATGTTACTGCTGAACTGGGACTCCAGGTGGAGAGTGGGCAGGCAGGTAATCATAAAGACGTCAACAAAAACAAGTGAACTGAACAAGGTCTGATAAAGTGATCTTCGCTCATTTGATGATGCTCATATAGCATGCTTCAGTAATAGGGCGGTTTTTATCACACCTTTATAAAACAGCTAAAAATGATCGCATCAAAAAAATCACATTTCACTGAAGTCATGCTGATTTACTCATATCTGCCTATATTTTCTCAGGATGAATGTTTGTGACTCTCGTGGGGAACAAACATTGTTTCAGATGTTTCCTGAACATCTTGTCTCGTATCCCATAAACCATTGGGCTGATGAGTCTCGGCAGTATCTGAATCAGCACAGTCAGCACGTAGCGAATGGCTCGAGCSTCTGCTGGGAACAGATTTGTGAGGCCTTGGATCATGATGTTAAAAACGTAACTCAGCATACAGAGCAGCAGCTGGAAACCGTGCAGCAGGACTGTGTTTCTTGCTTTCTTGGCGTTTGCAGAAGCTGTTTGTGCAGCGAAAAGAATCCTAAAGTATGAATAGAAAAGAATGAGCCAAACTAAAACCAAACACAAAATGTTGGACACATCTTTCTTCTTTTCCAGGTGTGGGTCTGTAAAGATGTTTMCCCACWGGCAGATAACCCTGGAATAAAAATATTCTGCAGGTCTTATGGCCAAGASTACAAACAGATCTGGGAGGACTGTAAGAGAACTCAGGAGCCATATCACAGAGATCACAGTGTGGGTCTTTTTCACGGTGCAGATCTGAGGGTGGCGGAGAGGGAAGCATACAGCCAGGTAACACTCCACAGCCATGGCAGCCAGCGTTAAAGGGTTGTTTAGGCCGGAAGAAACGGCAATCATTAACATAACGATACAAAAAGACACATTAAGAGTAAACAGGATGTAACTCAGGCCTTGAAGGAGGACGGTCATCGTTAACACGATGATGTCGTTGATCACCAGATGGATGTAGAGGATGTAACGAGAGTTCATGTGGAAAACCTGAAAGATAGAAAGAGTAAGTAATAATAAAGCAGTGATTTAATAATAATAATTTACGGAACTTATATGTTGCTTGGTGGTGTTAAGCTACATTGTAATGTAGAAAGAAACAAGGGGGAAAACGGAAGTGTGTTATTGTTTCTGCTTTTGGTTCGTGGTACCCTATTCACCTTTCAGCTTATTTGGGCACAACCCTATACACCAGGAACAGGGATCCCCAATCCACCACCTGGGGGACGCGCCTCTACACAGTGCAACCTCAGCGCGAGGTCTACATGTCTAACCCTAACCCCGTACCTATATGGCTAACCTTAAGCCCTTATCTAAAACTAACCCTAATTAACCCTGTAACCACACAGATACTTGTCTAACATTAACCCCTACCTAATACTGACCACACAGATACTTGTCTAACACTAACCCCTACCTAAAACCAACCACAGATACATGCCTTAAGGGCTGGACACACAGGAGGCAACAAACAACAGCGATTAACAGCTGTCATCGCAACCAGGGTGAAAACCGACACACGGGACGCGATAGTGATTGCAGCGTTGTGAATCGCGCTCGCGGGTTCCTTGTCTTCATGAAATTTGATTGCTTTTTCAACTGTCTTTTGTAAAGGTCATACTGTAGGTGGTTCACAAAAAAAGGGGTGCGTGCGTTACGGACGTGTAATCTAAACAAATCTTGCGATGCTAATGATATTGAAAAGCAAATGCACACCAAGATACAATTTTATGAGGAATAAATTACTGGATAACTTCACCCTGGCGCCAACAAATTCCTATGAAGCTACCTTTTTTAGTAATCAATTGGTGAAAGTGTTAGCTAACTGCAGTGTGTAGCATACTCTCCGCTCATTGGTCAGTCAATGAAACCATTGCTGATTTGTTGTACGCCAAGAGACAACGACAAAAGTTGAACATTTTTCAACTTTCATATGATGCGTCGCAAGCTCGCATGTGCACGACTACGTGTATGAGCGCAAAATTTCACATGCACGATTTTCGCCAGGCTCTTGGCTGGAGAAGGGCAAGCGATTGTCGCCTCAACGCACAAGTTCCATAGGAAATGAATGGAGAGCGAGCGACATTGCCTCCTGTGTGTCGAGCCCTTAACCCTAACCCCTTACCTAAAACTAACCACACATATACATGTCTAACCCTAACCCCTTACCTAAAACTAACCACACATATACATGTCTAACCCTAACCCCTTACCTAAAACTAACCGCGGATACATGTCTAACCCTAACCCCTTACCCAAAGCTAACCACACAGATACATGCCTAACCCTAACCCCTTACTTAAAACTAACCACACATATACATGTCTAACCATAACCCCTTACCTAAAACTAACCACAGATACATGTCTAACCCTAACCCCTTACCTAAAACTAACCACAGATACATGTCTAACCCTAACCCCTTACCTAAAACTAACCACA